ATCATTTAGCAAAAAAGCAAATGGTGATTAGGGAATATAGCAGCTGATATTTAACTTTCATAAACGATCTGCTTCCAGACATGGGTTTAATACAGCTGTGTGGTGTCAAAGATATGAATTGTTTTGCAATGAAAGAGCTCGACGGGAGAAAGCCGCTGAATTGATTAGTTTGATGCAGGATGCGATTAAGATCCATTACAGGTGATAAAACTCTCGCTTTCTCTTGTTCGAACAAAAATCGAGTATCTCTGTTTAGATGCATGCATTTATTCAACTTACCAAAAGTGATTTGTGACCCATTCCGAAGGCAGTATGATTATAATCGTTGCATAAAGGTAGAGTGCATATTCTGATTGATTGTTTCTATTTGATATTTCATAAAGTTTCTCTTCGACTGTGAACTGATCTCCGAATGGGGCAGTGAAGAGGAACTGACTGGAAAAAGTCTAGAAGGTAAAGCAGAAGGAGGAGAGGAAGAACGTGAGCTCATACTACATTGCAATAATGGCAAAATACTGTTTTGCCACAAAACCGTGCTTTAGAAAAAACCATAAAGACGCTTAAACCAACACCTGAAGATGAGAAACTAGCAGCAAAGATTGCTGAGGAAGAAAAGGAACTGGAAAATTTGCTAAGGGAGAAGGATAAGGAGGGCAAAGTACACATTAATTTGTCGTTTACACCTTCGTGCTTCAACGTTTCCATTCTATTCTATGAAACATGCTTGATGTTACTTTAGAAACCTGAAGTGATTGCTCCACCCACGATTGCGGAAAATGTTACCTCAGCCGTTCCCGTAGTTCCACAAACTTCCCAGGTATCAACAGCACCCAAGTTTATTTTAATAAAGATTTTTGTATAAGCTTGCCGTCATCTTCAAATTCAAGCGAATCATCAGGCTATCAAAGATTTTAGCGCAATCCTGCTCAAGAAAATAAAAATCTTGATTTAGTGAATTTTTCACTTAAATAGCGATATATGAAATAAGATGTCAAACAGGCAAAAAACAGCAAATTCGTCAATCTCCTTCTAAAATTTCAAAGAGGCTGTCATTCTGCGTGCAAATGCGTAAAGAACATTTGCTGCTCTTTACTTTTATTGGAAAAAAATTCTTGTCAAAGTACTTCTTTCTTATTTCTTTGAATAATAATCACCAATCAACAATAACCCTTCATTTTGCTTTCCATAACTGAAGCCCTTTTTGTTTGAATATTCCAGATCCAAGCATTTATATTTCGCAAGTATGCATGCAAAGATTTTCCATTTCAGATGGCCTTGTTCAATACATTCTATAGTCCATGCGATGCATATTAAGAGAAGCCTCATTTTCAATATTTTTAGTACGTTGAAAAAAGCTCCTTCAAAAGCGAACTAATTTGTGAAGTAAATAGTAATTGGCGCTTTAAGCGCTTTATATAGTTTTCAGAAATAAATGCGCTATAAAGACGACTATTTATTATTACTTTTACCGTTTCTTGCCGTACCACCGAAACAAACTCAGCTATAGCGGGAGTGGATTTTGTGATAGCATATTGAATATCTTCATCAAGCCACCTTTTAGATTCCTACCATATACTTATGATTACCCCATAAAGCCGTAATGTGCGCAAAGAAGCCAGGAGTTATAAGTCAAGACGGATAAGAAGATATCCAATAACTCGATGTCAACTACTATTCTCTTTTTTTAGAAAAGCGAACTGGAACTATTGCCTTCAGCTACGATTACAGGAAATGAACCCTCGGTTGTACCCGCCATTCTAAACACACCGAAGGTAGTGAAAACTCTTTTATTCTGTGAGATTCGGCTGTATTTCAATTGCGCTATGTCGAAAATTTTCATGGAGTGTGTAGTAACCTTTTTTAGAAAACCGAGTTGGGTCCAGTACCTACACCTACGATTGCTAACAATATCACCTCAGTCGTTCTTCCCGCAATCGTCAACATACCTCAAGTAGTGAGAAACATCCTTAACTTTAGAGGCCGTCACTTTTTTATGAGCAAGTGGGCTGCGAGTTTATTTTAGGAAAACAAGCTGGTTGCTCCACCCAAAATTGCCGAGACTGTTACTTCAATTGTTCCTGTGGTTACAAACTCATCTCAAACACCGATAGCAACTGAGAAGACGAAGAAGGAAACGCCTTTGGCAAGCAGTCACCCATTTTCTGCCGTTAAACTTTCTGTAATAAAGTCTTAAGTGGCTTCGACACAGGCGAATCTTTCTTAGTGTATGACCAATCCTCTGAAATTCTTTCAGAACAACTATTTCAAGAAGGAACTACAGACAA